TGTTAGATCCTTTGATTTTGATGTTGGCTGTGTTCATAAGTTTGTGTGCTTGGTTGCTTTTTGTTTTGCTGTAGTAAGGTTAATTACTTCCTGTGTTTTCTTGACAGAAGCTAATTTTCTTGGGTTGTATTTTCCCTTCCAGTGTCTTCTGTAATGCTGGATTTGTGTGTAGGTATTGTTGAAATTTGTTTTTGTCATTGAATATCTTGTTTTCTCCGTCTATGAGGACTGAGAGTTTTGCAGGGTATAGTAGCCTGGGTTGACATCTGTGTTCTCTTAGGGTCTGCATGATATCTGTCCAGGCCCTTCTGGCTTTCATAGTTTCTGTTGAAAAGTCAGGTGTGATTCTAATGGGTTTGCCATTATATGTTACTTGGCCTTTTTCCCTTGCAGCTTTTAGTATTTTTTCTTTGTTCTGTATACTTCCTGTTTTGATTATTATGTGGCGGGAGGATTTTCTTTTCTGGTCAAATTTGTTGGGTGTTCTGTAGGCCTCATGTATCCTTATTGGCTTCTCCTTTAACTTGGGGAAATTTTCTTCAATGATTTTGTTGAAAATATTTTCTGGGCCTTGGAGAAGGGAGTCTTCTTTTTCCTCTATTCCTATTATTCTCAAATTTTGTCTTTTCATATTGTCTTGGATTTCTTGGACGGTCTGTGTCAGGAATTTTTTGGATTTCACATTTTCTTTGACAGATACATCGATTTCTTCCATTGTATCTTCTACACCTGAGATTCTTTCTTCCATTTCTTGTATTCTATTGGTTATGCTTACCTCTGTAGTTCCTGTTTTCTTCCCTAAATTCTTCCTCTCCATTATTTCCTCCATTTGTGTTTTCTTTAATTTTTCTAGTTCTATCTTCAGGTCTTGAGTTGTTTTGTTTACTTCCTTCACCTGTCTGCTTGTATTTTCCTCTTTTTCTTTTAGTTCCTTCAACTCTGTCTCTTTGATTTCTTTCAGTGATTTAATTATTTCTTCTCTGAAGGCCACAAGCTGTTTGGCTGCATCTTCCCGTATTTCTTCACGGATGGCCCTAATTTGCTTGTCTTTATCTTCCTCCATTTCTTTACGGATAGCCATGATCTGTTTGGTTTTATCTTCCTCTAATTCTTTACGTATTTTATTTGTCTCCTCTATTATCCTCTTCATCAACATAGATGTAAGGTCCTCTTCTTGATTTTCTATTATGCTGCATTGTTCAGGGCTGTTCGCCCCTGGATGGCTGGGTTCTGGAGATGCCATATTGCTCTGTCTTTTGTTGGTTGAGCCTTTACGCTGACCTCTACCCATTGGGCTGATTTAGGTTTTGGCTGTTAGTTTCTGTGCTTCCTGGAGTCCTGAGGTAGGGAGTATCCCCTTGGCCGGAAGATGATTTTTCCTGAAGGAGTCCTTCTCTGATTTTTGGTTATGGTCACTGTATGGCCAGTGTTTCTCCGGAGATGCCACTGCTCACCTCAGGTTTATAGCCCTGAGTAGTAGCTGTGGTCTATGTTAGGCAGGGGGGGATCTCCTCTTACCCATAAAATTTCTCAAGACAGCTGCCCCACTGCTGGGTTTCTTGTTATAAATTTAGTGTGCTGCTGCTCACTAAATTTCCATGTACAGTCCTCTTGAAGAAACTGCTGATTCCCTAGCTATGGGGTTTTCTCCCAACAGGGAAACTCAGTCTGTTATCCTGGGGCGCACAGTTCTGTCTGAGAAAGTGGGAGGTGCACTCAGCAAGTCTCTGGGCCAAAGGCTGATTGCTCTGCTCTGGACCTGGAGAATGTGCACCTAGGTTGATTTGGCACCTGGGGGCACTGTTCTGGTCTGGAGGCTGGGTGCCTCACTCTGGACCAGAAGCTGTGTGTCTCTGTCTGGGATGGCGGCTACAGGCACTGCTCTGGTCCAGACGCTGTGGGTGCAGCCCCCCTGAAGGATCAGGGATTCCTACAGTTTTGGCAGTCCAGCCAGGGACAACTGGCCGATCCCTGGCACAGTATCTGAGGGCTGCTGTAATAGCTCTTCGACCCCTGCAGGTCCGAGGATGCAGCTGTGTGTCCCAGTGCCCCAGGGGAACGCAACAATGGCGGCAGAGCACAGCGCTTCTGCCTGCACTAGAGTCTGCGTGAGTCCAGGAAGTGTTTTGGTGCTGGGTGTCCTAAGCGTTAGAGCTGCTGACCCCCTCCGCTGGGGGTTTCCTCCTGCCAGAGACACGCAGTCTGGTGCCCTGTTGCCCTGGTGCCCACAGTTCTATCTGAGGCGGCGAATCACGCGCGCAGGCAGGGCTCTGTGCAGGCAGGCGCCTTTGTCCCTCCCGGCTCTGGGTCCGGGCTGGCTCCTGGGGCACCCGCGGAACCCGAGTCTTTTCCAGGGGATGTCTGGGTAACCTGGGGTCGGTCCCAATTGTTTCCTGCTCCGTGGGGTTATCTCTCGACTGGGAAATCCAGTCTATGGTGTTGTGGGCCCACAGTTCAGTCTGGGACCGTGACCAGATCACGCTGGCGGGTAGCTCTGGGCTGGCGACCAAGCGCCTGGCGGAACGGGAATCTCTTCCGCGGTTTTGCCGGGTGAGTTAAAGCTGATCGAATCCCCCACCGTGGGGTATCCTCTCACCTGAGAAACACAACCACTTGTGTTTTATGGCCGCGAGTTCTGATTGCTGGTCACTGTGCCAATCCTGCTGTGCTGCTCCTCAGAATGAGAGTCCTCCCGGCCCAGACCCTTTTTTATGAAAACTTGAAACAAATGTTTTAGAGTGAGAAAAGTATCCTTTAAGACTGCAAGATGATAAAGTTTAATATGTTATACCTTTGTCAAAACCCGTAAAACTTCACCACACAAAGAAAAAAAAAAAAAGAATAAGCTTTTGTGTATGCAAACAAGCCAAAATAATTCCAGAGGTTCGGGAATCTCAGGGTAGAATAGAAACTGTGACAAAGGAATGCAACTTTATTACAAAAGGACTGTTGACCTCATTGAAGGGAGTGAGGGGAAGTGCTAGCTGAGGCAACTTTAGAAAATAGTGTGTAAAACTAGTACAAAAGGCATTACACACAAGCATCTTATTGTAGCTGTGAAAGTTGCTTTCCACAGCACATGGGTTAACAGTTCTGACCCTGGTATATATAGAATCAATGATTAAGTAAAGAAATAGTGATCAGTGTTGGAGAGGATGCTTACAGAAAGGCAAGGTGAAGATTGAAATGATCAGTGGGGTCATGGATTAGAGTTGGAGACACCAAAATGAGCGATTGTTTATTGTAACATACAGATTAGTTAACTTAGTGTGCATATTAGATGTGCATACATATGGAAGTATTTATAGATATGTACATATGTATGAGTCTATGTGCATTCACATTTCTTGCTTTGTAAGCATGAAAAGGCCTAAAAGAAAAGCATTTCCTTGTGGCCAGGTGTACTAATGCTATTTTCCATTGAAAGGGTCCAAGACTTCTTGTAGATTGCTTAGACAGGGAGCCAGGAGACATTCAAGATTCTTTTAGAGTACAATGCAATTTAAAAAATAAGGTTTAATGCAAGCACGCACACACATACCAAAGAGAGGGAAAGAGAGGATAATGCAGTACAAGAAAGGGATAAAGGGATACGAAAGACTACTGAAGACTCCCCAAATCCATTGCTGCAACAATTTGAACTAAACCATCAAATAGTATGGCCCTTTAACACAACATTTTTAAAGGGGGAACAACTAAGATATACGGAGGAGAATAAGTAAAGCTTCCACGTGGAAAAATTACAAGTAACTTTAATACTCTGTCCTCAGCAAGGAGCGTATTTCCCAGTCCTCTTGTCTTGTCTCCCTCAGGAAGCTTCCCTCCTAATCGTAGCACAGATTTATAACCTTCTGCTGCCTGTTCACCTCTCTCCTGACCACCATTGATTGCTCTCCCTTTTAAATATTGCATGTGGGATTTCCAAAGTCAATTCATCCTAAAGAGCATGGTTTGAGAAAACAAAGAGGGGCTTGGAGAGATGGCTCAGAGGTTAAGAGCACTGGCTGGCCTTCCAAAGGTCCTGAGTCCAATTCCCAGCAACCACATGGTGGACCCTAACCATCTGTAATGAATCTGGCATGCAGCCATACGCGCAGGCAAAACACTATATGCATAATAAGTGAATCTTCAAAAAAAAAATAAAGAAAAGAAAGAGCGGAGCCTCACAGTGGAGAAGGCCTCAGGTTTTTAACTTACACACTTTTTTTCTTATCTTTCAATACCTGAGCAAGAGATATTTCAAAAGGCTTTTTATGTGTACTTCTAATATGTTGATTCTTCTTAATCATAAAACAAAACTAGGAGCTTTGTTTTATTAAAGATAAAGCATAATATAACAGTGTTTTAACTAGGGGCTAAGTGACCCATTCTGCATCATCTCACGGTATTATAATAACAGCCTAGACAGAAAGCCGCTAAAGAGAACTTTAAAAAAAATTATAAAAACAATGCTGAAGTGTAGCTCTTCACAGTTGATGGCGTCTGGCAAAGATGCAGGTGGGGATGGACTCAGTTTTCTTGAAGGGGCTAGCCATCAGGAGTTTGATCATGCTTCAGTAAGTACATGGGCAATACGAATTGAACTTGTTTCTTTCTTTCCTTTTTTTTTCAAGGGCAGGTCATGGGTCAGGGAACAGACAGGAGAGGACTGAGAAAGGAGTGTGATCAGGGTTCATGCTGTGAAATTTCCAAATAGCCAATAAAAATATTATGGAAAAAAATTTTCCAAAGAACACCATTGAGACCAAGTGATTCTGCCAAAGCCACCTCCCTGGTCTGTGACCAGGAGAGAGAAATGCTGTTTTCCACAAAGACAATCTATTAACCAGTATTCAAGAAGTAAAGCTTTCTATAATGCGGTTAAGAAATTTAATTAAATTCTCCTGCAGAAGAAACATAAATGTTAGGAAAATACAAGTATCCATTTGAATATCTATTTTATAAAGTAATAAAAGTCATCTATTTTTGTGAGAGATCCACCAGAAAAGACTGCTCAGACATGGGTTTAAGACAACAGAAAGTCTTTATTAGCCATTTAGCAACCACATTGGGTGTTTGGGATCCCAGTGTAGGCCCAAGCTTTTCTCAGGTTGATCTTTTAAGTGCACACACACACACACACACACACACACACACAAATTCGTGTTGACATATTTTGGTTAACAAAAACAGACAGCCAGAAGCAGAACTACAGAAGCCAAAAAGGCAAGGTTAGTACATTTGGAGACTTTCCCAGAACTATGGACTTTGATGAATTAGATCTTTGTTGTCACCTTGGCTGGCGGTGCTGTCTGTGTGCTGAGCTTTATGACCTAAATGGTACTTCCGTCATGGAGTCAGCTGTGTATAGGTTTGGGGCCTGTGAAACTATGAAGATTATGAAGATATTCTGCTCTTGGGCATGCAGATTTAAAAGCGACTCCACATTTATCAAAACCAACATCAAAATTAAATACAAAGCTTTTCAACTGAAAAAAAAAAAAACAAACCAAAATCTCACTTTTAAAATATGTTATTCTTGTTACCCTTCACGTACCCTTATACCAATAAAAGCAATTATCTTTTATCCTATAAATGCCTCAAAAATTAGCATCATAAAAGCTTATGTAGCTGGGTGTAGTGCTGCTTGCCTTTAAAAGCATCACTCTGGAGACAGAGGCAGATAGATCTCTGTGAGTTCAAGACCACATTCTTTGAAATACTAATTTCCAGACCAGCATGAGCTGCACCCTAAGACTCAATTTTTTTAAAATTATATCTATAAAATTCTGAGTTTTATTTATATAAAGAATATTTTTAAACCCCTTTAAACGCTTTGGAGTTTTCATACACCTCAGAGATCAATTGGGAATTCATTAACAAATGATGCCCTTAACGGCCCATGAATTTATTCGGAATGAATAAACCCGTTACGGATAAGAAGCCTGAAATAAGCAAAAATGTTTCAAAACTGAGATTCAATTATGAAATAATATCATCATCTACACATATAAACAGATAACAAAACTTTCAAGTAAAAGTCAGATTTATGGTGGACCCTTATAAATTAGATCCATCCCTTTACCAACTTAATCTCCAAATAAATTTAATGTGCTGAATTCCGTAGCCCAAGTGCTACTTGCAATTTATGATGAAAGGCGTTTATTCGTTCTTTCTGAACTGGCCAGTTTAAGATGCAACGAGATTTAAACATTCCTCTTCGCAAACAGAGAGCATGGTTTAGTTTATAATCTGGAATATCCTGAAGAAAAATCAATATGATTGAATCCAGGTTTTGCTCAATAGCTTGCTGAACCGCATGGTGAACCTTGAATCTAAGTGAAATATTAAAATGAATATTTATATTAACATATAGTTGTTAAAAAGTGAAAAGCTTAGCCATCTAAAATTATTTGTGGAATTTATTTTGTACTTTCACTAAAAATTAAAACTTACCCCCCCCCCCAATTTTGTTAAAATTTTTGTGAATCGTGAATGCAGTAATTTGAAAAGCTCATTTGGAAAAAAAATAACAAAACAAACAAGTAGTGACATAAACTTCTGCAAAATTCACCTACCTTCTGCATAGAGGGTCTTTTAGTAGGTGATGTGTTATAACAAAAATGATTTTTCTACTTCTTTTGATGCTACTGACAATTGCTTCAAGTCCAAGAACACCTGCTTCAAAATCCCTTTCTTCCAGGCAAAATTTGAGAGATTGGTCTTGTTCCTCCATTGGGGAGAAATGTTCCCAGACCCAGTCTCTGTCTTTATGGGCATGGATTATGTATGCTGTATATTCAAACTGCTCTGGCTGTGCATCTATTTCCTTGAAACCAAGAATTCGATGCACTGAAACATTCCAGTAAAAAGATATCCTCCAGCCCTCGAGGTGAACGAGCAGGGACGTAAGTATGAAAATCACCAGCACACTGGTATTAATTATGAAAAGGAGTTCAAAGGGGGCACTGTCTTTACAGGATGACGTATCAAAAAGCTTCACTGGGAAGCCGTGATATTGACGTGGAGTGTTGCAGAGGTAATGTGCCGACAGCTCGGAGATATTAGTGTGGGTCTGATTGATCCAGTTGACAAACCAGGCGATGCTTTCACACGTACAGTCAAATGGATTAAAGCTCATATCTAAAGTGCTCAGGTTTTGAAAAGCTCGCCCAAAAACATCCTTCTGAACGGACGTTATGAGGTTCTTCTGAAGGTTCAGTGACCTCAGAGAAGTCTGGTCATCAAAAATAGATGGTAGAAGTATGTTTAAATTATTCAGTCCTAGGTTGATGCTCTTTAGCTCAAATAAGTTCTTGAACACCTCGACTGGGATTTCATCTAAGCCGTTGGACTCTAAATTCAGGATGTGAAGGTGAGACAGACCTTTCAGGAAATTAATGGGACCACCAGGATTTGCATGTTTCCAGAGCCTTGCTAAGTTGTTGTGCTGAAAATCCAGAATTTCTAGCTTCTCAAGACCCTCCAACAAGTCCTCATTTATGTTGGCTATGTTGTTGTTGCTTAAGTCCAGAATTGTCAAGTTGTGAAGAGGGCAGAAAGGCGAAGGGGAGATGGCCACATTTTTGAGGGCCACTCTCCTGAGCATCAGTCTTTGAAGGCTGGGGACCAAAGCAAAGGAATTACTAGTGAGTTGGAGGTATTTGTTATAGGACAGGTAGATCTCAAATATATTTCTCAGACCTCTCCACTCCTGGCCCGTGAGTTCTTGCTCAATTTCATTAAGGCCAAGGTCAAGTATCCGGAGTTGGCCCAACCAAGAGAACGCACCACTCGCTATTTTTGAGATGTGATTTTTCGTTAAATTGAGCACGAGCAAAGGAGAATGAGCAAGTGACAAAAATGTTTCATTTGATAACGTTTGCAGATTTGTGAATGTTTTGGAAAGACTTAGGTACTTCAGACTCACCAATCCCGTGAACATATTGCTTTGTGTGCCTGGAATGTTATTATCATCCATGTTGAGATATTCCAAACATTTTAGCCACTGAAAGGAAAAATCATCAATCTTGGGGTGTGAAGCAAGTGAAATACTTTGCTTAGTAAATGCTCGCTTCAAACTGAGGTACCTCAGGTTGGAAAGTCCATAAAGAGAGCGAGGCAACAAACACTGTATGTTATTGTACTCCAGAGACAGGTACTTCAGGTGCGGGAGCCAAGAGAAGGAATCGTTACCAATGTCACGCAGACCGTTGTAGGAAAGGTCGAGCCAGGTGAGGTTCGTCTGCCTCAGTCCGGAGAAAGTGCTTTGGCTGGTTGCTAGCAGCTGGTTGTTAGCCAGAGAGAGATTCTGGATGCTTGTGTTTGACAGTTCCCAGCAAAGCTTCTCTGTGAGGTGGAGGTTTAGTTGGGCGTTGTTCAAAAGGAAGGCAATTAACTTTCGGATTGCGTGAAAACACCCTGGAGAAAACTGAAGGTTCAAAACAGACAACAAATAACAAACCAGATGTAACAGGCTCGGTAGGACTGACTTGATTCTCCGCTCAGTCCCCCTCTCCCCTTTTACCTTGTGACTTGGGCTGGGTAGCCCACTCTGTCCCTCCTAATCCCTTCTTCACCCAGTGGCTGTTAACACCCACCCACAGGGCCCCCCCCCCCACCTCTCAAGCATGGCTGTGACTCCTGACATTCTGCCTAAATCACACTGAATCCAGTTGCGTTTAGTAAACTCTGTGTGAAAAATAGAACCTGAGTGTGTTTTGGTGAGTGCTTTCGGTGGCCAGTGACAGGTATTTTCTCTTCTTCAGTTTTGTCTTTCTACACAGGTCTTATTTCATGGCGATGTTTTCAGCTTCCTTTCACTGACTTGGGCTCTGTTATCAGAAGTCTCAGCTGACCTGGGACTCCAGAGACGGCAGCAGCCAAACCTGAGCACTGGCACTCAGGGAGAGAGCAAAGGGGCTGGGATTTCTTATATGTCGCTTTAATAAGTTTGGGCTAAAGGGGAAGTGGACGAGCTAGGAATGTAAAAGGAGGTATTGCTTTAATGGTTTTTATTGTTTTGTTTTGGGTTTGGGGTTTTTTTTAAGACAGGGTTTCTCTGTGTAGCCTTGGCTTTCCTGGACTTGCTTTATAAAACAGGCTAGCCTGGAACTCAAAATGATTCACCTGCCTCTGCTTCCCACAGGGCTGGGATTACAGGTGTGTGCCATGGCATGGGGCTGCTTTATTGTATGCAAAGCAGGTAGCTATTAAACTGTGGTAAATTTGCCTTGTAGCATTGTTTGCAGCCTCGAAAGTTTTTTTCTTTTTAATTATTAATTGTGTGGGAGCTGTTCAATGCACAGCTATGGTAAGCGTAGTGTCGGGTGGCATATCAGGAAGGCCTCTCCCTCACGTGCCCTTCTTGGTCTCTATTTACTCCTGAGTAAAAAGAATAAGTTGATTAAGAAGATGATGTGCACAAAATATACAGACGGTCTTTCCACAGAGTTGGTAGAGTTAAGTTGTTCTGAGCTTAAGCTGTTGTTGGCTTTCTTGTAGTAAGTTGGAGAAGAGGTGTCAATATGTATACACAGAGTAGTCATGTTTGGTTTTGATGGTAGACTTCTAAGTGACTTTTATTAGCCCTCATTGTTTATGTATTTTATAAGATTATGGCAATACATGTTCTAAACAGAAAAAATGTATTTTAAAAATAAAGAAGAGTTACATACACAAATCATTTCATTATTATTTCAGGATAAATTTCTTCATAATCCTTTTTATCTTCAAAATAGCTTTTTTTCTTTTATTTATTTTTTTTTATTTTTTTATTTTTATTATTATTTGCATTTTATTAACTCTGTATCCCAGCTATATCCTGCTCCCTCATTCCCTCCCAATCCCACCCTCCCTCTCTCATCTCCTCTCTGCCCCTTTCCAAGTCCACTGATTGGGGAGGACCTCCTTCCCTTTCATCTGACCCTGTTTTATCAGGTATCTTCAGGACTGGCTGCAAAGTCCTCCTCTGTGACCTAGCAGGACTGCTCCTCCTTTGGGGTGTGGGGATGTCAAAGAGCCTGCCATTGAGTTCCTGTCAGAAATAGTCCCTGTTCCCCTTACTCTGGGAAACCAATTGGTTACTGAGCTACCACGGGCTACATCCGAGCAGAGGTTCTAGGTTATATCCATACATGGTCCTTGGTGGAGTGTCAGTCTTGGAAAAAACCCCTGTGCCCAGATATATTTGGTCCTTGTGGAACTCCTATCCTTTCCACGTCATACTAACTCCCCCTTCTTTGATATGATTCCCTGCACTCTGCCAAAGGTTTGGTTGAGTCTTAGTATCTGCTTTGACAAAATAGCTTTTTAAAACTTAGTTAAGAACTTCCCATATTCTCAAAGCTTATAAAATATCCTAGGTCAGTGGGTTTCAATCTGTGGCTCGCAACCTCTATCTCAAAAAAAAAAAAAAAGTATTTACATTATGATTCATAACAGTAGCAAAATTAGAGTTATTAAGTAGCAACTCAAGCAATTTTCGGGGTTGGGAGTCACCACAACGTGAGGAACTGTATTAAAGGGTCAAAGCATTAGGAAGGTTGAGAACAAACCGCCGGGACCTAGATGAAGAGTTCCAGGCAATTTCTTTCTAGTGAGGGAAGACAGTCAATCTTCCCCAGGGATGAGCTATTGGCTATCCAATACCATGTGGTCAGCCCTAAACATGTAAACACATGAGCAATACTCAATGAACTCATAAGTATCGTCAGCGTGCAGGCAATCTTGCTGGCCTGTCCTCAGGGACCTAGCAACTGCTTACATCATGCCCTGCTACCATGGCCAGGTGCCAGATGCTATAGGTGTGTGAGCCCTGATAAAAGTACCACTCACCACCCCAGCTCTCTCTCTGTTCCGTTCCCAGCATTCTCTCTCTCCCTTTCTGTCTTAGGATACCCCTTTCCCCACCTCTCTGCCCCTCTCTCTGTCCTCATGGCTTCCTCGCTGCCTTTGCTCTTTCTCAGGCCCTCTCCCAGTGAACCCCCTTTAAATCACATCTGTTCCATGACATAATTTCTCGGGGGAACACCTTGGCATGGGCCCTTGCCTCATTATATTTCATAACAGATATAATATGTACCCACAAAAATAGATAGCCATGTCTATAAATAGGTCAGCTGAAGGTCATGGGTCACAAAAAAAAGCAAGATACTGAGGAATATTCCATTACAGGAAATATTTTAATACTAAGAATCGCTTTATGCCAAATGCATTATTAAATTCTTTTGCCTCATAGTGTTAGTAGAGCGCAGACTTGGGAGTGCAGATGGCTTGAATAACTTACCTGGTCACATGACTCTTAAAAGACAAAGCCTACCTACAGAGAGGTGGTCAACCGGCAGTCTGCTTCCTGAGCTCTTAACTACCAGAGTGTTTCAATTCTTAGATCTCAGAAAGAAGAGCTTGATTCTCACAAATTAGGAAAACTAAAATCAGTGGGGCTTTGCTTTGTTTTGTTTTTCAAGGCACAGGGATTACAATTAGCCTCATCAGTGGCCTCGAGCAGCAGGTGTTGAAGGATTTCTTTCTTTCTTTTTTTAATTTACTCACTGATTTTATTTAATTTGCATTCTTTTTTTGCATCTGTTTTTGTTTTTATTAATTACAGTTTATTCACTTTGTAGCCGCCCTGTAGCTCCCTCCTTCCCCTTTCTCCACCCATGCCCCTCCCCCAGTCCACTGATAGGAGAGGTCTTTCTCCCCTTCCTGAAGGATTTCTTAAAGACTTAAAATTTTACTTTACTCGAAATCTTAAATTTCGACACAGTTAGTGGTTACACCTACTGAAGGAAGACTACTAAATAATTTTTGCCTTGACTTCTTACCTCTTGAAGTAAATTTGATGACAAGTCCAACTTTTGTAAAGAAGAATTGCCAAGAAAATCAAGTTCTTCCCGTCTTAGCGCGAGGATTTTATTATTCGATAAGAGGAGCTCTTGGAGATTTTCCAGTTGGACCTCAGTTCCCAACTTGGTAGATGATAAGCCATTGTGGGACAGATCTAATTTGATTAAGTTCTGAGAGTGAAAAATAGATACACACAAATTAGAGTCTTGACACCAGAAGCAGCTCCCTCCAAATGTGTGAATCTTTGAGGTGTCGCAATAAGATGCCTCACTTCTTTTCACCCACTCTTCCTCAGCGCTTGTACCAGGATGTCTGCTATGAAAAACTCTCTGCTTGATATGGCTGCATAATCAAGACGAGGAAAATGGCAGTTATCAACAGACATGTTACATGGACGGGGAAAATTTTGAGGAGGTTCATCCCTAAGACAAGGAACTACAGGCTACTGATGGCTGCTGGGAGAAGAAATTTAGCCCCTCCCAGGAATGAGTTCCCTTAAAGGGTTGACCAGTGCAGAGAGGTCAGCCTTGAAACTGTGTGCACACAAACAACAAAAACAGATTCAGAAGGTTGTACTTATATACATTTGTGCACACACACACACACATACAACATTAATCAAAGAAAAAGAGGCTATACATTGGGGCGGGACGTAGCAGGAATTTGAGGGAAGGTAGCTGGGAAGGGCTTGAGGGTAGAAATTTGGGGCTGGTGTGTGTGTGTGTGTGTGTGTGTGTGTGTGTGTGTGTGTGTTATAATTCAATTTCAATTAAAAAACATTTAAGCAAAACCTAAAAAATTCTCACCATTGTTTCAAGAATTTAGTTTCTTCATGAATCATCTTATTTCTTTCACCATAATAAAGGACTTAAGCTTGTTATTGATGATATAAGGACAACTGGTTATTTACTTATTTATAATCATTTATTTATGATATAAGGGATAACAGGGTGGCTTGGTAAACACAATATGATGCATGAACCTTGGAAACTAGTTACAGAAGAAAATATTCCTTAAAGAAAACTCGGTCCCTGCAGCTAAGGCTCAGGAAACATCTTCAAAGAGGGAGCAGGATGATTACAAAAGCCAGGGTACCAGCCTGCCTGTAAGCTTCAGATTTAGGCAAAAAGTAAGAGAGACCCTGATGTCTGTTAGGGAGAAGTCAAATGGAATTTCTATCAAAGAAAACAAGACTTTTGTTTATGCATTAAGAAGAAAAAAATGTGTTTTTCTAGTAATTTTTCTGATCAGATTTTGTGATCTTGGCATTGCAAGGTATTTCCTGCACACCATAGTTAAGAAGGCTCAGAGACTGGCCAATATATTATGTTACCTTTAGCAATGCTTCACAGCACATTTAAATCTGTACATTATGCCTTTGGTATCTGAGAAGGAATAAGTCTCCATATTTATTTCATTTGAAGCCAGAAAATAAAGAAAATAAATTGACTTTTCAAATGGTTTTGGTTTAAGTTAAGCACTTAAGATTTACTGGGACTACTAGCTAATAACACATGCTTTTCATGGATTTAAAATTTGAGCAAATGTTAAAAGAAAAAAAAAAGCAGAAACCATTAAAAAGGTAATGTTCTAAGATTTCTTAAACTCCAAAGAGTAGGTAATATTTTAGTCAAACAGTCTGCTCTACCACTCTATCAACTTGTTACTTTTATTGAAGTCAGAGTTTGGGCTCACTGTGTTTTTTACTGCTCAACATCCTAAATTTAGCACAACGATTTTATTTTTGGGGGATAATTTATGGGGTAGTCAGAAACATTTCTGCCCAGGATGTCTCTCTTTAATTCTCTTTCAAATGAAACAATTCAAGAAAGGAAGATTTCATAATGTTCAGATTAATTTAAGACTGTCATTCCAAAACAGATTCATGTCACAATACCCATGTTTGCACAGGTGGACTTCAGCAGTCCCAAAAAGGGTGGACCTGCCCTTATTCTCTTACCTTGATAGCTATGAAGACTTTGATGAGTGAGTAACCTGAAAACCTAACTTCAGTTGACTTCAGTAATATTTGCATTTCTTAGGACATAATGAACATCCTCCTCTTACCTTCTGGTTTTTGAAAGGGTTGCCTTTAATTTTGTGTATTGAGTTAGACATCAGATGGAGTTCTAACAGGTTTGTGCAGAAGACAAAAGTCTTATCAGAAATCTGAGATAGCTCATTGTGTTGCAGGTTCAAGACTTTCAACAAAAGGAGTATTTGGCACAGTTCTGGTTCCAGTTTTGAAATGGAGTTAAATCCTGCATCCAAGATAGCAAGGTGGCGGTACCTTGTAAAGTTGGCAGGTGGTAACCCTCTTAGTTGATTGTGGGTAAGATTCAACACTGTTATGTTAGTGGGAAGGTCATCAGGTATGTGTGTTAGCTTCAAGTGGCTGCAGTCAGCTACTTCGTGTCTCACAGTGCATTGGTTTGTGGAAGATGCACAGAGAATCCATAGGGACAAAAGTCCCGCAACGGTGTATATTAGGTAAGATGAATGGTGTTTCATGATTCTGCCCTGTAAAAGAAAGATGAAAAGTAAGGCTATTACCATGCTTCCATATCCCTTGGTGTATTCTTTTAAAATGTATCACCCACTCTATACAAGATCTGTTAATAAATTTTACACCATACAATTACATAGCATTCAAGTAATGCACCAAGCAGAAATAATTCAAATAGCACTATGAAGCCAAGTGATCTACAGATATACGTCTTCATTCTTCACCACACCCTAAAGATAAGGAACCCAGTCAAGCCATTCCCTCACAACTCTGCTTGTTTTATTTTTATCTATTGTTCTATTTACTATTTTTAAAGCTATCTACAAGTCAGCCTACTCCAGAAAAAAAAAAATCTCCTCTTGAAAGTATTTCTTACAGACATAATAATTTCACATACTTCCGGAGTACAGTGATAGTTCAGCATTATGTGATTCATGAGCTCACCAGAGCAATTTCCATGTTTGCCAGTACAGATACTTATCAATTTCTTATGTTCAGAACATTCTAAATCCTTTACAGTAGCTATCTTGAAATATACTTCATCATTTTTAACCATAGTTATCTGAGTAGTTCTTTTTCAGCTGCACCCTTGTATTTGCTAGTCACCTTCCCTCTCCTCCACCTCCCTGTACTCTTTTGAACCTCTGCTAGCCACTGCTCTGTAATTGTAGAAGTTCATCTTTCACACAAGAACACGTGATTTTTGTTTTTCTTTGTCTAATGTATTTGACCTCCTTCGGGCTCACCCATGGAGTTACTGACCCGAGGCAATTTTGTCCTATACTCTTCTCTCATTTTCTTTGCTGTTTTTTTTTAATAGTTATGTTCAGCTTCATCTAATATAGTATTGCATTTATAATTTAAAAGACTGTACAAAAACCTATGTTTCTTGATCAACCAACTATGCGGAGTTTCTCAGTGCCTCACTTTGTAGCACAGTAGATGCGAGCTCTTCCCTTTGGTTGGTTTGACCAATCTCTTCACCCTTACTTTCCTATAACTGTTAGGACAGCATCAGATGACGTTGCTACAGTAGAAATGTTAGGGCTGGGGGCCTGAAAGCTTTATGGTAATTGGAAAAGCCCAATGTTAAGAAGTCTCATTCACAATTCTATGCTTATATCAGTCGGTATTCACTGAAGAATCAGTGGCACATGGTGAAGAGAGTAGACCTGCAGTACATGACCGACATTCTGAGCATGGGGCTTCTGTGTTGTAGCTCTTGGCAAGTTTTCACTTCTCAGATCTAACTGAAATCCTCCAAAGGTAACTGTGAAGATCAAAGGAAGTAAATTGAGGTGACCTATCGTACTCAGCCTTAAGCAATGTAACCATTATTCATCCACAGTAAGAAGACCAGGAGTTAAGAGTGTGTAGCTGTAACTATGTTCTGTCTTGTAATATTTCACTTTACAATGAAAAACCCAAACTTATCACGAGATACTCTCAGCTAACCACTAGATAAGATGACAGCAGTAAAAGCACTAAAGTAGAGCATTTGAAGAATAAGGAACTTCATGAAGACTCAAGAGGAGTCGAAAGCTTCTCTCTTTCATTCACGCTAGTTGGGCATGGCTTGCAGGTGGTTCCTGTCACAGATTGTGACAGCCTGCATTGTTCCTGGACAGCGACAAGATTATCTGCAGAGGCCAGTGTCCTTTCAAACTGTTCTGAATTTTACTTTAAAAACCAAAAGTTCTGGATTATGAGATGCCCTTGGGTAATTTTTCAGTAGTATTTGGCTTAAGAATGAAAATAAGGAGGAGCAGAGCCAAGATGGCGACTAGCACGCACAGTTTCTGAGCTGTGGAAGAGCTGAACGCCCGAGTTGGTAAGTGGAAGGACTGCTGAAGCCAGGGAAATGATGGAGAGGCTTTCTAAACGACAGGGAACATTGCACGAGGTGAGAACTTTGGTCTCCGGTCACAGGTGGACTTGTTTGGGGTAGGAGAGAAACAATCCCTTGATCTCCTGGCACTCCCCTTTCTCGGACCTCCCTCCTCCTCAGCACAGCCAGCTCAAAGCTCCTGCCTGGGGTCTCTAGCGGCGGAGGCGGAGCTCCTAGCCCCTTAGCGGCAACTCCCATCTGTACCAGTCTCAGAGTCCCAGACCCACGGCACCATCCTCCCAGGGTCCCAGGTCTGCTAGCCACCATATTAGCCCCACAGGGTCGCTCAGCCACTGACTGTACGGCCTGCCCGAACCCTCAGTGACAGATAATACAATATATACCCACCAAAGCCCAGCAGTCCCACCATACAAGCTAGGCACACCAGGCGCTGGGCCTCCCAGGCCTGGAGAGCACAGTGGAGGGTCCTCAGGACTTCCCAGAAGGCTTCTGGACCAGCATCCTAGTCTCCAGCTGCAGCTGGACTTCCTAACGTGGTGGCTGAGCTGACGGAGCACATCAGTCCTCCTGCATAAGACCAAGCAGGGCCAAATCAGAGAGCAGAGAGCCTGGATATGCTGATCCATGCCGATGTGACTTGCTTGAGAGTGAGTACGCCCTTGAGTGTCTACAGAGCCCCAGATAAAGGGTCCTTCTGAAATAGAAGCCAGGCATCGGACCCCTCTCACCCACATACCCACTGTGGGAAACAGAGGGTCACTTGGGACATTGAAGCCCCTGCTCTGCGGGTCCAACTGAGGAGTTTAGGCAGATAATGCTGGAAATTGCTCAGTGACCATCACCAGAACCTGCTAAATATACAGCACATGCACAAATAACCCTTTAGAAGCCTGCAAGGCAGAGCCCCTCCCACACACTCAAGGATTCAACATTCTCTATCACTCTGTCCCTCCAGGCACACTTCCATACATATTTCCACACACACGCGCGTGCGTGCGCACACACACACACACACACACACACGTGTGCGCAAGCCTGCATTTGCCCTTTTGCGCCAGCATACTTTCCTCCTACAGATAGAGCTAATGCACCAATGCACACGCTGAAGCCATGGGACCTCTCTCAGCTTCCTGAAGAACTCTCCAGATGCCAGAGAGAGACAGTACAAGTCTGAACTGCAGAATCCAGAAACAAACAGGGAAAGTTTCAGATAAGCCAATGGCCAGGGGTAGGCAAAAGAACATATCAAACATAAATCAGGACATCATGACTTCACCAGCAACCCCCAAAATTGATGGATACTCTAATTCATCAGAAGCACAGGAAAATGAATTTAAAGCTATGCTTACCCAATTATTTGAGGTTCAAAAAGAGGAAACAAACAATTCTCTTAGAGCAATAGCCATGCAAATTCAGACAGTTAAAGAGGAAATGAACAAATCTATCAAAGATTTGGACAATCAATTGGAGACAAAGAAAGAGGAAATGGACAAAATTCTTAAAGAAACACAGGCAAACATAGCTAAACAAATAGAGGCACAATTAGTGGCATATAGAGAGGAAATGAACAAAAAAAATAGAGACCATCATAGAGAGAGACAGGAATCCACATTCAAACAGATGAAGGAAATAGTGCAAGGCATGAAAACAGAATTAGACTCAATAAAGAAAAGACAAACTGAAAAAACCCTGGAGCTGGAGAACTTGGAGAAAAGATCAGGAACCACAAAGGTAAGCATCACCAATAGAATACAAGAGATGGAAGAGAGAATCTCTGGAGCTGAAGATATACTCACAGAAATTGATACTTCTCTCAAAGAAAAAGTAAAATCAGAAAGGTCCCAAACACAAAATATCCAAGAAATCAAGAATGCCATGAAAAGACGAAATCTAAGAATAACGGGAATCGATGAAAAAGAAGACTCCAGGCTCCAAGGTCCAGAAAATATTTTCAAGAAAATCATAGAAGAAAATTTTCCCAACTTAAAGAAAGAGATGTTTATAAATATACAAGACACCTACAGAACACCAAATAGACTAGACCAAAAAAGAAACACATCATGTCCCATCATAGTCAAAACACTAAATCTACAGAACAAAGAAAAGATATTAAAAGCAGCAAGGGAAAAAGGTCAAGTAACATATGAAGGCAAACCTATCAGAATTACACTGGACTTCTCATCAGAAACTATGAAAGCCAGAAGGGCCTGGGCAGGTGTCATGCAGACTCTAAGAAACCACAGATGCCAACCCAGACTACTATATCCTGCAAAGCTTTCAATCAACATAGATGGAGAAAACAAAACGTTCCATGACAAAACTAAATTTATGCAATATCTACACAGCAAACCAGCCCTACAGAAGATACTAGAAGGAAAACTCCAATCCAATGAAAACAACTTCACCCAAGAAAAAATAGCATACAGATAATATCCCAACAAAAATTTAAAAGAAAACAAGGAATGAAACACAGTATGACCACCGACTCCAATATAAAAGGAACTAACGTTCATTAGTCACTATTATCTATCAACATCAATGGACTCAACTCTCCAATAAAAAGACACAGACTAACAGAATGGGTGCGGAAACAGGATCCAACATTCTGCTGCATCCAAGAAACGAAACTCTGCAACAAAGATAAACACTACCTCAGAGTAAAGGGCTGGAAAATGTCTTTTAAGCAAACTGACCTAGAAAACATGCTGGGGTAGCTATCCTAATATCTAATAAAATAGACTTTCAACCAAAATTAATAAAAAAAAAGATGAGGAGGGACACTACATTCTCATCAAAGGAAAAATCCACCAAGAGGACATCACAATTCTGAACATCTATGCCCCAAATACAAGGGTGCCTACATTCATAAATGAAACATTATTAAAACTTAAATCATACATCAATCCCAACACCTTAATAGTGGGAGATTTCAACACCCCACTTTCACCAAGGGACAGATCATCTAGACAGAAGCCTAATAAGGAAATAAAGGCACTTACAGAGGTCCTAAATCAAATTGACCTAATAGATGTCTACAGAACTTTCCACCCAAACTCAAAAGATTATACCTTCTTTTCAGCACATCATGGAACCTTCTCCAAAATAGACCATATAGTTGGTCACAAAGCAAGCCTCAACAGATACAAGAAGATTGAAATAATCCACTGTATTCTATCTGACCACCATGGACTAAAGCTGGACCTCAACAAAACTGGAATGAGAAAAAAGCCTACAAGCACATGGAAACTGAACAACTTGCTGATCAATGACAGCTGGGTTAAGGAAGAAATAAAGAAAGAAATTAAAGACTTCCTAGAATTCAATGAAAATTAAGGTATACATACCCTAATTTGTGGGACACAATGAAAGCAATGCTCAGAGGAAAATTCATAGCACTAAATACCTTCAAGAAGAAATTTGTGACATCTTGTACAAGGAACTTAAAGGCCCAACTGAAAGCCCTAGAAAAATAAAAAAGAAGCAAATACACCCAAGAGGAGCAGATGGCTAGAAATAATGAAACTCAGGGCAGAAATCAATCAATTAGAAACAAGTAAAACTATTCAAAGAATCAATGAAACCAAGAGTTTATTCTTTGAGAAAAATCAACAAGATAGACAAACTCTTAGCCAAACTATCTAAAAGGCAGAGAGAAACTATGCAAATCAGCAAAATCAGAAATGAAAAGGGGGACATAACAACAGATAGTGAGGAAATCCAAACAATTATTAGGTCATACTACAAAAGCCTATATGCCACAAAATTCAAAAATCTAAAAGAAATGGACAATTTTCTTGATAGATTCCATCTGCCTAAATTAAGTCAAGATCAGGTAGAAAAATTGAATAGTCCTATATTCCCCAAGGAAATAGAAGCAGTCATCAACAGTCTCCCTTCCAAAAAGAAAAAGCCCTGGGCCAGATGGTTACAGCGCAGAATTCTACACGACCTTCAAAGAAGTGCTAACTTCAATTCTCTCCAAACTATTCCACAAAATAGAAACAAAAGGAACATTACCAAACTCATTCTATGAAGCCACAGTCACCTTGATACCTAAACCACACAAAGACCCAACAAAAAAAGAGAACTTCAGACCTATCTTTCTTATGAACATTGATGCAAAAAATACTCAATAAAATACTTGCAAACCAAATCCAAGAACACATCAAAGATATCATCCACCATGACCAAATAGGCTTCATCCCAGGCATGCAAGGGTGGTTCAACATATGGAAATCCATCAATGTAATCCACCTCATAAACAAACTGAAGGAGAAAAAAACACATGATCATCTCCTTAGATGCTGAAAAATCATTTGACAAAGTCCAACACCCATTCATATTTAAAGTCTTGGAGAGATCAGGGATATAAGGCACATACCTAAACATAGTAAAGGCAATATATAGCAAGCCTATAGCCAACATCAGACCCAATGGAGAGAAACTTAAATCAATCCCACTGAAATCAGGGACAAGACAAGGCTGCCCACTCTCTCCATATCTCTTCAACATAGTACTTGATGTCCTAGCTAAAGCAATAAGACAATTAAAGGAAATCAAGAGGATACAAATTGGAAAGGAAGAGATCAAAGTGTCACTATTCGCAGATGATATGATAGTATACATGAGCAACCCCAAAAATTCAACCAGAGAACTCCTTCAGCTGATAAACACCTTCAGCAAAGTGGCAGGATACAAAATTAACTCAAAAAAAAAAAAAAAAAAAAAAGGAAAAGAAAAAAAGAAGCCCTCCTGTATACCCAAGAAAAAAGGGGCAAGAAAGAAATCAGGGAAACAACACCCTTCACAATAGCCACTAATAACATAAAGTACCTTGGTGAGACTCTAACCAAGCATGTGAAAGATCTATTTGAAAAAAACTTCAAGTCTCTGAAGAAAGAAATTGAAGAAGACATCAGAAGATGGAAAGATCTCCCATGCTCATGGATCAGTAGGATTAACATAGTGAAAATGGCAATTCTGCCAAAAGCAATCTACAGATTCAGTGCAATTCCCATCAAAATACCAACTCAATTCTTTACAGACCTTGAAAGAAAGATTCTCAGTTTCATATGGAGAAACAAAAAACGCAGAATGTCCAAAACGATTCTGTACAACAACATATCATCTGGAGGTATCTCCATCCCCGATCTCAAGCTGTACTACAGAGCAATTGTAATAAAAACTGCATGGTATTGGCATAGAAACAAAAAGGAGAATCAATGGAACCGAATAGAAGACCTAGAAATAAACCCACACACCTATGAATACTTGATTTTTGACAAAGACACCAAAACCATTCAATGGAAAAAAGACAGCATCTTCAACAAATGGTGCTGGTCCAGCTGGATGTCTACATGCAGAAAAATAAAAATACTTCAATATTTATCACCCTGCACAAAACTAAAGTCCAAGTAGATTAAATACCTCAACATAAAACCAGACACACTAAACCTGTTAGAAAAAAAGTGGGGAAGAGTCTAGCACAGAAGACAACTTCCTGAACAGAGCACCAATAGCACAGGCTGTAAGAGCAACAATCAATAAATGAGACCTCATGAAACTTAAAAGCTTCTGTAAAGCAAAAGACACTGTCATCAGAACAAAACGAGAGCCTACAGACTGGGAAAGGATCTTCACCAACCCTATATCTGACAGAGGGCTGATATCCAGAATATATAAAAAGCTAAAGAAGTTAAAAAGTAATAAATCAAGTAATCCAATTTAAAAAAAGGGGCACGAAGATAAACAAGAGAATTCTCTGTAGAGGAATATAGAATGGCAGAGAAACACTTAAAGAGATGTTCAACATCCTTAGCCATCAGGGAGATGCAAATCAAAATGACCCTGAGATTTTACCTTACACCCATCAAAATGTCTAAAATCAAAAATTCAAATGACAACACATGCTGGAGAGGTTGTGGAGAAAGGGGAACCCTCCTCCATTGCTTCTGGGAATGTTAACTGGTACAACCACCTTGGAAGTCAATCTGGTGCTTTCTCAGACAATTAGGAATAGTGCTATCTCAAGACCCAGCTATACCACTCCTAGGCATATACCCAAAATTTGCTCAAGTACACAATAAGCACCTTTGTTCAACCATGTTTGTAGAAGCTTTATTTGTAATAGTCAGAACCTGGAAACAACCCAGATGTCTATCAACTAAGGAATGGATACAGAAATTGTGGTATTTTTACACAGTGGAATACTACTCAGCAATCAAAAAGGAGGAAATCATGAAATTTGAAATTTGCAGGCAAATGGTGGGATCTAGAAAAGATCATTCTGAGTGAGATATCCCAGAAGGAGAAAGACACACATGGTATATACTCACTTATATAGACCTATAAGATATGATAAACATAATGAAATCTATACACCTAAAGAAGATAAACAAGAAAGAAGACCCGGGGTAAGATGATCAATCCTCACTTAGAAAGACAAATGAGATGTGCATTGGACATAGAAGAAAACAAGTAACAGGACAGGAGCCTACTGCAAAGGGCCTCTGAAAGACTCTACCTAGCAGTGTATCAAAGCAGATACTAAGACTCACAACCAAACCTTTGGCAGAGTGGAGGGAATCATATGAAAGAAGAGGGAGTTAGTATGATATGGAGAGGATAGGAGCTCCACAAGGACCAAATATATCTGGGCACAGGGTCTTTTCTGAAACTGATATTCCACCAAGGACCATGTATGGATATAACCTAGAACCTCTGCTTGAATAAAGCCTGTGGTAGCTCAGTAACCAATTGTTTTCCCATAGTAAGGGGAACAGGGACTATTTCTGACAGGAACTCAATGACTGGCTCTTTGAACTCCCCACCCCCAAGGGAGAAGCTGTCCTGCTAGGCCAAAGAGGAGGACTTTACAGCCAGTCCTGAAGATACCTGATAAAACAGGGTCAGATGAAATGGGAGGAGGTCCTCCCCTATCAGTGGACTTGGAAAGGGGCAGGGAGGAGATGAGGGAGAGAAGGTGTGATTGTGAGGGAAGGAAGGAGCGGGATACAGCTGGGATACAAAGTTAATAAAATGTAACTGATAACAAAAATTTAAAAAAAACAAAAAAAATAAAAAAAGAATGAAAATAAGTAAGTTGAAGAGTCTGCCTGTACATTACTGACAACCTCTAAAGGTCTTTCAAAGTTTGATCTTTACTCTTATTGTATCTATCTATCTATCTATCTATCTATCTATCTATCTATCTATCTATCTATCTATCTATCTGTCTCTGTATCTATTTACCTACTTATTTTGGTTTGCTTTGCTTTGGTTTTTCGAGACAAGTTTTCTCTTTGTAGCCTGGTTGTCCTACAACTCACTATGTAGACCAAGCTAACTTCAAACTCACAGAGATCCATCTGCCTCTGCCTCCTGAGTGCTAGGATTTAAGGTACACGCCACCACCGCCCAGTTTACGTCTTCAATAATTTTGATACATGGATTATTTGAAACTGCTAAGAAAATGACGCTTTATATTATTTTTATTAGCATGTATTATTTAAACAAATAATGCGGTTCATTATTATTTCATCATATAGAAATATTAACCTCAAATTCACATCATGGGGTTATAGAGAAGGCTTAGCAACTAAAAGTACTTTCTACTCTTGCAAAGGATCAGGGTTCTATTCCCAGCACCCACATGGTGACTCATTGTAACTTCAGTTCTAGGGAATCTGCATTCTATTCAGGCCTCCATGTTATTAAGGCACATGCACAGTACACAGGCTCCCACACAGGGAAAAAAAATGCTTTAAAAATAAATTTAAAAAATATATTTCATACAAAATCATGAAAGCACCCTCCTCTTGCATACTCCATTCTCTTCCTTTATATAAAGTTTCGTTTTCTTAGCACTTTCTCTTTATACCTTTTAATGTCATCTCTTGAAATGTGATAATGCAAAATTTCACAAGAATTTTTCCAGTTATGTCTTTCCTGTGAGATGTCTCTATTGCTTGATTCTGCTTGCTTCAGTCCAAAATTGCATGCCTTCCTCAACTTTTATAACTTCTTGTTCTACGACAGTTTCCTTTCTTACACTTCCTAAATTCTCTCCTTTGGAATCACTTTCAAGCAGATATTGGTTGTTCCGTATAGTCCAGTCCCCATATCAAGTTTTGCAGTTTTATTTCTCTATCTCTCTATTTCATGTTCTTAGATATAAACTTAGCTTTGCACACCAGTCCTACCCTGATTAGTTTTTATTTTAACAATTATATTTTAAATGTATACAAAACAGTGTACAAATCACAAATTACAAGTTATTGAATTTTAATACATGGGTGTGTCAGTGGACTCGCTACTCAAATTAAGAAAAAAAAGGACTCCAATGCTTTAGGAAACCCCCCCCTCACACCACCCCAACAATTCTTCATTCTTCCTAATCACAAACACTGTTAATTCCTACAGTGTAGTAAGTTTTTATGTCATAAGTATTAACAAAATCTTGCATTACAGCAGCCCCTCATTAGCACAGTTTACATCAATTACTTGTGGCAGACATTATACAAAATATTATTACAGTTTATAGTGCAATGAGGAATGGAGGCATTTCGGGGGTGTCATAATTTTTACCAGATTATAATGTCAGAATTGGGTTTATTATTAATTATTGCTAGCCTCTTGCTATGCCTAATTTGTATCTTAAATTTAATCACAAGGCATGTATGTGCAGGTGAATTGGTATATGTAGGGTTGGACATTCCTGATGCTCTCAGGTGCTCTCTGTGGCCTTAGATGATATCCCCATGGCTAAGCCAGGTATCCTTTTGTGAGCTATCATTTTTTTTCTCCATATGAAGTTTGCAAGATTTATCCACATCTTATCATGTCTTAACATTGGTCATTTTTATTGATATAAAATGTTCCAGTGTATGAATATTCTATAGTCAACACATTCTCAAATTTTTGAATAAAAATTATTAAAAGGGGCCAAACATGGTAGCACATATCTTTAACCCCGGCAGCTCTTGGGAAGCAGAGGCAGTTGGATCTTTGTGAGCTTGAGGCCAGACTAGCCTACATGGCAATTTCCAGGCTAGCTAAAGCTACACAGTGAGTCCTTGTCTCAAAACAAAACAAGAAAAAAGAGAAGCAAAAAGTTATTCTTAAATACTCTAGACAATTCAAAGAATTTTGCAATGACTATGCTTGTGTTATGACATATGATCTGTTGGAACACCTCCATCATCAGCTCATGTCCTGCAAGCTCCAGTCTCCCCCCGAATAGATTACTTTCTCGTCTCTAGCTTCAGTATTTTTTATACAAAATTTGTTATCCATTATAAAACACGTAATAATAAAAGGCATGTTACATATATATTCTCTGACCTTTGGCAAATGCATGAAGCTGTGTAACTCAAATTCAAAGAATTCCTCTGTTCCCTGTAAACTGCCACTCTTATTCCCGGAAGCAAGCACTCTGCTGTCTCTACAGACTGTTCTTGGAAACACAAAGGATGAAATCTCATTCATTTCCATATATCTGTGGCTGTCTTTATTCAGTGCATTATTTTTAAAATTTACCTGTAATGTGTAGTTCATACAATAGCTTCCCCTTTCTCACAGAAGATATGGTTCATGACCCCCAGTGATCAAATGATATTTACTGTTTCTTTCTGTACAGATGAACCTATCATGAAGTTTGCATTACAAAACACTTTATAGAATAAGACACAGACACCCCACAAGTTTTTCTCCTAGTACTGTGAGGTTTTCTCATATCTGCTTACCAGATCGTGGGTGAATTTCTGCGAGGTAGTCTACTAATTGTTCAGGTAACATCTACACCTCTGGAAAGGCTGTAAATAAAAGTCAGAATTACTGAGGACCAATGCATTTATAAGCTGTGTACACGAATAACTGAAAGACAGTCCCAATCTGAAAACATACTTCATTGGAAGAGAGAGAAAAAAAATCCACAAAATGCTAACAAAGCAAGAAGGATGTGTAAAAATAAAACAAATCGTGGGGATAGAATATTAGGGAATTCAGAATGGTGACCACAGTCAGGCATGGTGGAGCACACCTTTAATCCCAGCACACAGGGAGACAAAGGCAGGAGGATCTCTGTGACTGCAAGGCCAGCCTTGTCGGCAAAGTGAGTCCAGGGCAGCGAAGGAAACCATGTCTTGAGGAAAAAAAAATCAGAATAGTGACCACATACACACACAGAAAAAAGAGAGAAAAGGGGGAAAGGCACAAATTCTGAACATTTCGTAAGGTGGTCATTATCATCATCAATTATTTCCAAAGAAAAGAGATCCTTTTTCATTTAAAAAAAAAACTTTTTTGCCAATAACATGAGTTAATATGTAATGCATAGATAATAGTAAAGGGAAGCTTTCAAAAACATTTAAGATAAAATGTGTTGAACTCCAAACTCCACAGTCAGCTGAACAACTAGGACAGAAGGAAAAAGTAATTTGACATATGCAAGGACACATTTCAATCAAACAAACAAAAATCCAGTTGATGTATAAAATGAGAATGAAGAAAACATTACTACCGACTGCTTCTTAAGGAAAGGCAGGGGAGGAGAGGGAGGGAGACGAGCTTGCGTTGGAGGAAGCATTTAGAAGGTAATAGAATTACATTTCTTCATTCAAGGGGGAGCCTGCATTGTATTATGACTAAGGCAAGGACTATGGAGAATACCTCCAGTTACCCAGGATTTATAATTTGGTTTATGAACATTGCAATATCGTTTTTTTAAGTTACTGCACAGGCACATAGATGCCGAGGCATGTCAACCCATAATCATATCATAACTTACTACAACCTCCATGTGTTGAAGGTTGACTGTTTTCCCCCAACTAGTCCACAGTTGCTCAGCCTTGGTTTCTGCCCTTACTGTGTAACTTTCTGAGCCTCCTCCTGAGCCTGCCCTCCTTTCTGACCATCCTTTTCAATTCTGTTAGAAAAAGCAAATCGGCAGTTCCTACAAACATCTGAGGATCCTTTCTTTCTCAAGAGCATTATAGAATGCCAGCTCTTCCTCTCTAGCCAGCTAAACAGGAAGGAGTTTTTAACCTTCTGAGATTTTGTTTCTTTAAGGCAAAGGTGCAATTATAGAAGGCATTTTAATTAATATTTGTTATGATCTTCTTACCTATTCTTGATCATTTTATACTATATACTACATAGACACACACATTTCGGTCGTGTCTCTGCCTCTTGCTCCCCACTCAGAGCCACCCTCACCCCTTTTTAAAGGCTTTTACAAAATCACTTAGGAAGACTTCTTTATCTGTCTTTCCAAGAACAGAGGTCTACAGAGGAAGGTTTTTTTTTGTTTTGTTTTGTTTTTGGTTTAGTTGAGGAATAAAATTAATGTCTTATCACAGAAGTCATATTTTGTTGCTAAATTTGCACTTGGAATTATGGTGCGTTTCGTTTCTCCCCTCATACCTGTATCATCTTCTACCCTCTTTTCTTGCAGGATTCAGTTTTACTCCCCAGGTGGGGGACAGCTGGATTAACATTAGAAGCCAAAGTCAATCTGAATCAATTCAGCCAGAGATCCTTCATCTCCTTAGTCTTCGGACTTTTTAAAATCAGACATTTCCTTCAAGCCTGAAAGTGAAACCTAAGTTGAGATTAAAAAAAAAAGAAAGAAAGAGGCGGGGGCGGGGGGTAGGAAAGGAGAAAGTCTATTTAGTGACATACAGGATATTTTCAGCAAAATCGTTAAATTGTTTTTAAGCCGTTACCTTTGGGATTTTCTTTTTCTTTTTAAGGACCTCCTGGAATTCATTGAAATGGTTACAAATTGTACTTCAGGGAGAAATGTAATGAGAGCTACCCGCAGCTGTCTGCCCGCAGAACTCTGGAAGTCAATAAGTTCCTGGCTTCGGAGCCAAGCCCTCTGTGGTGGGAGAGCTTCGCAAAACTGTCAGATTTCAAGAGTGCGTGGTCTAAGGCTTGGGACTGTGGATGAGAGTGAAGCGGGGAGCTGGGAGTTGCACAAAAACAGAAGGATCAAGGGTTGGGGGAAAACCAGGACGTGCCTTAACAAAGTGAAAGTCATTTGCTTACCTTGATTCATTTTCTTTGCAACCTTCTAAAGTGAGTAAAGTTCAACTTAATCTCTTGGTCAAAATGGGCATCCAGTTTTCCAGCAGGAAGAGTTGAGGACATCTCCCAGTCAGGAGGAGGTCTTGTCCCAAATGCAATAAGGAAACACCCAGAAACAATGAGGAAAAAAAAAGTGAGTAAAAGAGGGAGGGAGGGAGGAAGGGAGGGAGGGAGAGAGGGAGGGAAGAAGGGATGGAGGGAGGGAAGGGGGAAAGGAAGGACAGAGGGAGGGACAGAGGGAGGGAGGGAGTTGTAGCACTGGCTGTCACAAAGAGCCCTTCTTGCTCAAGCCAGCCCAGTTTTCCACAGAATCCACAAATTACAAATTAGGCATCATGCAGATTAGGGCAGAGAAGAGCCCAATAAACTCTTTCCTCCTTAATTAGCTTTGAGGACTCCAGTTAGTTAAAAAAAAAAAAATGTGACTGTGGGGGAATGATCTCACTTTTCTTTTCATTGCAGACACGCAATGACATAATACATAGTAAAAATATAACAAAGTATACAAGAGAGAGTACCTAACTGGATTTCCTTGTTTTGAAACCTTAAGTACCTGGTCTTTGGTGCTAAGGACTCACCACAACGATTTCTTTTGTCAACTAATAATAAAACAGTCCCCGGGGGTGAAGTGAAAGTGAAGAAGGTGAATGGACGATTAAACTGAAAGCAAGCAGTGTGTATTGTGCAAGTTGCCATTCCTGGGGCCCAGTTGGTTATCACCTGTGGCTACTGGGCTCATGATTACCCTCTTCTTCCAGTGGTAACGTCCTAAGTCCAACATCATAAACAAGAGGTTGTCCTTAGCAAATAATCGCCCTCTACATTTTCCCACCCGGAAGCCAACAAAACGCTAATCGTATTAGCAAGAGTTCGTCCCTGTGAGTTCTTTGACATCAGAACATGCTGCGTTTTTGTATTATACCTCTGTAGTCATGGTGGAGCACTGTTCTTGCTCATCTCTGAAGGACAAGTCATTGTGTGGTCCTCTCCTACACTGACTCTGGGCTTGGCTCTCTGACTAGCTTTGGCCAAGCATATACCAGCATGAAGCAGTTTGATTCTGAGTCCGTTATTAAGGCCAATAAGAGTTTCCATGTTTGAGACTCGTCTTGGGGAACACCAATCTCTCTCAGCCTTAGCTGGAATTGATTTGCTGTGCAATAAGAAGCCCCGATTAGCTGTGCGATGGATTGGTGGAGTGGAACAGATATGCTCGCTGAGCAACTTATATCACTAGATAAGATGAGTAAAATATGCTTCCTCTATAACCTATATTTTTATTATATAAAAATTATATAATTATATTTTTATATTCTATATAATTTATAATTATTTACAGATATTCGGTTAGCTATAATATTGGTTGACTAGTAAATGGCTTTAAATAGTTATTATTTTTCTTTTTCAAGTCTATGTTTTGGCATGTATATGTGAGTGTATATTAGGGGTGGGTGTATGGGTGTATACACATATGTACACATATGTATTGGGGCCTGAAATTGATTTGGATTTGGGGTATTTTCCTCAATTGTTCTATGCTTCATTCAATCAAGCAGGGTCTTTCAGCTGAACCTGAAACTTATTGCTACTCTAGCTTTGCCAGCCAGCCTGCTCTGGGTGTCTCATCTCCATCTTCTGTACCCTAGGATGATAAGGCAAGCTCCTTTAACCATCTCCCACTTACCTGGGTTCTGGGAATGCCTATTGTGGTCCTCAGTCATGCTTGTGTGACAAGCATTTTAACTACCATCCTACTTTCCCAGTGTCTCAAAAATCTGATAAAGCTATTCAATATTAATTGGAAATTACATTGTGCATATAGGCCACAGAGCTCAGATCGGGTAGAAAGGTAATAAGGATTAATAAAACCTTTAAGAGGACTCTGGCCAAATTGGTCCTGGAACCTGTCAAAAATTTGGGTCAACCTGTTCCTATTTGCAAAGCCCAGAGTCTAGTGTGTTTCTTTTGAAGTTATATTTGGGAGACCGTTTCCCATCCTCCCTGAACTCAGAGATGTTCCTCAGGCAGCTGTGCAGTCTCTCCCCTCTCCAGTTCTTCAGGCTTTGCAGGAAGCCTGCCAGGCCTGTGACTATATTGCTGGAAAGTGGCTGGTGTCATCCTTCGGATGCATCCAACTACTGAGGAAGATGTTATAGAGACTGACACTTGGACTTCAGACCCCTTAAAAATAAGACTGACTCAAGATCATTAACCCACAACACTAGGCTCATCTTTGTCCTTTCTTTCAATATGCTCATGGGAAACTATAACTCTTACTGCCCCCGTATCTGGACTTGAGAATTAAGAATCACAGACCCAGAGAAGTAATAGTCAATTGAACTAAGGATGAGCAACCCCAGTGCCACTTTTGGAGTCTGGTTAAACTACAGAAGGATGGTCATGGGGACTTATCTTTTGAGAGAGAGAGATCCAGGAAATCGAGTTCTATGCATTCCGCACAAACAGAACCCCACACTGTCAGGGGCCAGGTCATCTGGGGAATTTCTATTGTAACAATTGAGGTTGTGAAACTGAGGCCTATTGAGAGCATGCCGAAAACTACATGTACGCAGAAAAAGAGATCCCTCCCCAGAACTTCACAATAGGGAGGTATAATTCCATAATCATAAGGCTAAGAGATTAGAGACAACATAAGAATGAGTATATTCCATGGGGCCCTGGAAGAACCTGGGAAATAATATTCTATTTTGCTACCAAAAGAAACCCAGGGGATAAATTTACTGTCAAAAAGAGGATACCTTCTTGGGCCTCCAGACCAATGGGCCCCCAAAGATATTTCCTACCCATCCCAAGGGGGAAAGACCCAACTCCAACAATGATTCTTCCTACAAGGCTGGCTCCATCTGGTACCAAAACCATTACTGCCCTAGTCCCCACCAGCACTGTTGCTAGAATTCCTCCTTCTATATTCTCTACCCTTGATAAGGTTCAGAATTTGCTTATTCACTCCCAGCCAGAAAGTGCTCAGGATATCTGGCTGTGCCTGAACCCTCAAACCCTTACTACATAGGGCTAGGAACCAACCAAGCCATTGACCTACCAGCAGGTAAATACAATTGTAACTGGGAACAGACTAAGTGGGGGGGGGCTTTCAGGGAGCTGAACCACACCTGTCACCCAAGACTTCTGACTTAGAAGCCTCGCCTTCCTCCAAAGCTTGTTACTCCACTCTCCAGATCAATTCTTCTCATTATCAGCAATACTTTAGGGCCCCCGAGACTACCTGGAGGGCATGCACAAATAGATTAACTAAATGCACTTCCCCTTCCAAGGCGTGCACCTTTAACACGGACCCCAGGCTACCACAGGAAAAGCCATCCACGCCTACCTTTGCTCCACTCTGTGGGAGCTGGTATTGCTGGAGCAATGGCAGTAGGAACTTTGGCCCTGCTGGCCAGTCATCAACATACACTTTCGCTTTCCCAAGCCTGTCACAGGGAGTCGAATCAAGAGAGACCTCGATTTGATTCGTAAGCAGAAACCTTCCATGAAGCTGTGCTTTTGTGGCATTAAAACTGCTCATGGTAGCTGGGCATGGTGGAGTACACCTGCAATGCGAGCAGGCAGATCTCTGTGAGTTTGAGGCCAGCCTGGTCTACAAAACGAGTCAAGAACAGCCAAGGCTATTCAGAGAAACCCTGTCTTGGGGGGGAAAAAGAAAAGAGAAAAGAAAAGGAAGGAAGGAAGGAAGGAAGGAAGGAAGGAAGGAAGGAAGGAAGGAGAGAGAAAAGAAAGAAGGAAGGAAAGAAAGAAAGAGAAAGAAAGAACTGCTCTTGGCCATTCCTGTGATTTCTTTGTCCTTAATCGGGAAGTTATGCAGCTAGGCCATCCTTGCAAGTGGTATTCACTGACCCCTTTTCATAGTCACTTTTCAGAAAGGACTTGTCCTGCTTCACTTCATCTGGAACTGCAGGGCATGTCTTTCTGAGCCCTTTCCCTAATGCGAAGATGCAGTTCCTCTTACCAAGGTCACTTCCATTTTCATACATCAACCAAAGCCAGAAACCTAGCAAGACCTACAAAGAGAGCAGAAATGGTACTTTCCCTCTTCTCTTGCTCCTGCTCCTAGCCTGGGTTGCACTTGAACTTCCCTTCTGAAAAGAAACTGTTGTCTGCCACACAGAACTTGTGGTTAAGCCCGAACTTCTATTTTGTGTGTTTAGGTACACATAGCTGTAGCCAGTTAGATTTGGCAAGGAAAAGAAGAGGTAAAAAAAAAATAATCCAAATTGAGAAAGGGGAAGTAAAATGATTTCTGTCTGCCTGTGACATGATCTTATATGCAGAAACCCTGAGGATGCCACAAGATCCTGGTAGACCACAAATTTGGCAAAGTCACAAGATAGAAGATCAGTAGATACAGACCAGTCCTGTATGTGAACCCATTCAGTGAGCAGTAAGAAGAGGAAATTGAACAGACTCCATTAAGAGTAAAGCACTTAGAAAAAAAACCTAGCTAATGTGTTAAAAGACTCACATACTCCAAATGAGAAAACTGTTGCTTAAAGAAATTAAAGAAAATGAATTAGAAAGACATTCCATATTCATGGATTAAAAATTTATCAAGATACCAATATCACTCTAGGTGATTTACAGATTTAATGCAATCTCTATTAAAATCCTGGTGACATATTTGAAACATCACACAGGCATAGAAAAACGCATGTATATTTTTCAAGTATTTCAGCATCTAAATCAATCTTTAAAAAGACCACAACTTGAGGAATCTTGCTTAGGGATATCAAAACTTATGACAGAAATGGCAGTAATTAAACAATGGCAATTACTGGCATGAAAACCCAAGTATGCAGGCTCTCATTATGCAATGGAGACCCAAATAAACACTATTATATGTACTCAGATGGTTTTTAAACAAGGATAACAAGATTTGCCTCTGGAGAAAGGGCAGTTTGTCTCTAGATTGTGCTGAAAAACAAAGCATGCTCTCTCAAACACTGGATATCCATCTACAAAAAATAAAACTGAATACTTATACACAAAATCTAACTCAGAGTGGATCAAACTTTTTTATATGTAAAAGAAAGTTTATGACTTTTTTCTTTTAATTTAAAAGGTTTTTTTTCACTCT